TGTTTTTTTCCTTCTTTTTGGAAAATATATTCATAATTTAATCCAAGTTAATCAATTGCAAGGAGACACACAAACAATATATTCCATCTAACGATTATTAGATACGACGAAGTGGCGTAATAGAGTCTTCGTAATAAATTTTACGTAATTACTTCGTGTGCAGGCTCTCTCCCTTCTTTTTTCTCCCCCATCGACTTCGTAGAAGCGGAACTGTAGATAGTCGATATTCGATTTGCTCGTATTTTAACTGCAAATTTAAAGAACGAAAGCTTAGGAATTTTTCTTGAAAGTTAATGATGGTAAATACATAATATCCTTACGATAAATAATTAATGCATAAAAATAGAATTTAAATATCATGTTGATCATGTTTTACTTTAAATATTTTATTTTGTTACAAAATTTTTAGCATATTTTTAGCAAATATATTATTAGTAGTTTGGTGATAATTCTTACGCAAAAATGGGATTAAAAGACGTTTGTTACCTGAACGTTGTTGAACTTATTTCGCTAGATTTATCGAGGCGAGTGTCTTACAGCCATCTGAACGTTCAACTCCGCATTTCAATCCACGGCGCTATTAAGAAGATGAAATTTGCAATTCAGATAGGTAAGAAATGCTGCCACTTCTCACGACCGGATTGACGTTTGCCACTTTTCCGATGAAGAAATCGAGATACACTTCGAAGTATCTAAAGCTCTTTCCTTGCGAGAGAACAAAAATTGTGCTTCTCGTTTAATCAAAATATAGAAAACTATAAATCTCATAATCAAAATTCACCAAATTATACTATTAAAGCTTTCGATTAAATTTTTTTAATTGGAAAAACTTTCATTGGAAAATTATAAATAATATTCTTCTATAATTTTATTCAACCCAAAAATTGGCCCAAAATTCATCGAATTCTATATTTCACGAGTATATTTCAAATATCAAATTCAAAAGACAATACATATATGCGCAAAGCAAAAAAACTCTTCTATTCACAACTTCCCAAAAGTTAATTATTAATTTTTACACGCTGCGCTACTTTTTCCTCCTTTTACATTCGTCCACTTTTTATTTAATTTCAGCGAGAAATCATTTATCAATTTTAATAATCTCCTACGATTCTTTACAATGTTCTACCACCTTTCCGCCCCTAAGAGAGAAAACGAATTCGATCAGATCACGAACACTCGTTACATCATCGAATCAGAAAATAAGAAAAGAATGTCGTGAGTTTCTTTCAAATCGAAATTAAGTCGGCCTCCTTCCTATTTTTCGACATCGAACAAATTCATTTCGAACTTGAACGATCATCCTCTTCCTCTCCCCACAATCTCCCTCCCCCCGTTGACCACCACCATTCTTCTTCTTCCTCCTCTTCTTTTCATCATCGGCACGATGCTCAACGTGTCCTAACGAAATCGGTATGCGGGCATCGGTGGCCGAATAATTTTCTATCATCTGGGAAGGAATGTATTGCCGTCCGCTCGCAGGGACGATTCCCTTCCGCGTTCCGATCGAAATATGCGCGGCACGTTCCTGCAAGGTAAACTCGAAAGGTACGGGGGTGGCGGTGGTATTTGTCAAGACTCGGCAGACGTGCCCGTCGGTATCCACCGGAGATATTATTCAAGATATAGGGAAGGGAGGGAGGGCCAACAAGGAAAATGCCCGGTTGGACAGTTGGACAGTTGGTTCTCGCCGTCCTTGTCGAGAATCGTCGTTGCTCGTCCGGCCGGGTGACGAGCGGAAACGACGAGGAGGATCGACTGGTGGTTCCGCTGTCACGTCGAGTTTCCACGGTGTCGGTGGGACGTCTCTATCGAGTTACAGGCTTTGTTTTTGGGTCGATCGAGTGGCCCATCGCCACTTGGAACGTCCCGCAGGACTTTCTTTGACCCCCTTTGACGTCGTTTCCGGGCCTCCGCCCGATAAGCATTGATAGCCGGGGCAAAATTGATTTTCCCCAAACATTTGGAAGGTGGAAGGGGAAGAAGTTTCTCCTCACGGGCGCAAGCAAGATGCCACCTCGTAATAATACTTTGTCCACGAAATCGATTTCCTGGCTTTGCCCTCCGCCAATCAGAGTTTATTCGAGTTGCTTCGAATCGCGAACGATTGTTACGATGACTTTTTCTTCGTGAAACGGCGGGGCTGGCGTTTTTAATTGAAGGAAACGGGGCTGAAAATGATTTTTTTAGATAATTGTGGAGATAGGCGTGATTGAATTTCGATCGACACGACGATCTCTTTTGCGATCGAATTATTTTGTAAGAAATTTTACTCTGTCGCGTAATATATTTTTTCTGATTAAGATTAGTGCTTAAGATTGGATAATACGATTTATCATTTGATCGATGACTCAATCAATCCCCTTAAAGTTTCAATTCTGCGTTTCACCCTACGATGATTCAACTGACGGATACAGATAAAAATTATCTTAGGTAGACAGACGTTTAGGATTGGTCGAGGAGGAAGTGATTTAATAAAATAAAATAAAAAAAAAAGGAAGAAAGGAAGGAAGGAAAATGGTGGAAAAACTGCAACGATTCTACCGGTGAACGTGATGGCAGTTAGTATTGGCTGAAAATCGTTCGTGATTGGAATCATGGCCAATTCTATCAAAGCGCTCTTGCACCGTTGCACGATTCGTGTTTCCACTGAAAACAAGCATAGTTACAAAAAACGCAGCGCAAGGAATATCGATGCATCGAAATCACTTCACTTTCGAAGTGGGATCTTTTTCAATTATTGCTCTCGGATCGACGATCGAATTAATCGAATCAATCGAGCCTTTTTCCCTTCGTTCTATACGAAACATTCTTTCTGTCATCTCATCTGTCGATACATGAAAAGCGCAATTCTTTCTTATTCTCTCGATTAACTTTAAAATCGAATCGAATATATATTTATATATATTTTATATATAATCGACGAATTCGATCGTTTAACACCTTTCTTCCTTTTCCTTTTCCTCGGGTGTTCATCTTTTCTTCTCCGAATTCTCACAGCGGAGAGGAGGAGGAGGAGGAGTTTTTCCTCAGGCCAACGAATTCGATTAGGCGTCGTTCATTGTGTAAAGGTTACTACGGCGAAAGCATTGCCGGCTCGTTTCAGCGAAATTCTTTCCAACCCTCTTTCGCTCCTCTCCTCCTCCCGGTTTTAGGGTGGAGAGAACGAAGCCAGCTTCGAACCCCAACCGGCAACCTATAACGAGGAAGAAAGCTTTCTTTATCTGGGTTGCAAAATCGAATTGTCGTCCTTTCGTCTCGCGAGCTCTTCGCTCGCAGATTCTCCTCGCACCTCCTTTCTCGCTTCGAGTTCGGATGAAAACATTTCATCCGAATGGTCCGACCATCTTTCTCTCGCTCTTTCTCTCTCTCTCTTTCACTCCCTTATCCTCTCTCTATTCAACTAACAAACGTACGGAGTTAAGGAGCCGTTGATGAAGCGAATCGGATATTCCTTGGAGAAAATAATCCGGCAGGAATTCGATGTGGGAGAACCGGCTGAAAACTCCCTGGTTGATATTGTTAATTCGTGATATGAGAAAATCCATTCCGGGGAAACTTGGTGTATTTAATTTGCACCCAGTCGCTGTCAATTGTCAGGCCGGAAGTGGGGAAAGTTGGAAGGATAATTGGTTGTTGAGCAGGGCACGGCCACGGTGGATTATTCGGTGGATGGAAAGTTTTGGAAAAGAATACGTGTTTGCGAAACTCGGCGAATAACTTTCCGCGTTATTATCAGTTTAATCGTAATCTTATTTTATTTTAGGAGTATTATAATCTTGCTATCCTCGATCCTTTTTTTTTTTTTAACTCGATTTCGTGGAACGACTATCCCTTTTAATCATTTTACGAGTAAATAGTATCCCCTTTATATACGAGAATATTCGTATAAGTTTAATTTTATCATAAAAATTCTAATCTCGCAACTCTTTGTAATTTACTTTAATTTAATCTTTCGTAATATTACGTTTTACATTGCTTCCCTTCCCTGTAAAAGATAACTTTATCCCCCTTACCGCTCTTAATAATCATCCCTTTTACCCATCAATTTTACAATTTCCCTTGTTAAAAAATTCCACCTAGTACCGTTCCAACGCACGTGTTAATTTTCTCTTTCTTAAAAAAAAAAAGAAAATAGAGAGAGAACTCTCTCTCTCTCTCTCTCTCTCTCATCATGGAATTAACTTCGACTCGAGATTAAATCTTTGTCGAGAAATAAAATATTAAAAAAAAAAAAATAATTCGCCGCCGAGGGAAAAATTGAAAAATCTCGAATCGAATCCGTCCCAATCGCCGCTCTCGTTCTCTCCGTTCTCATCTCTCCGGCTATCTATTTCGAACGTCGTCTTCCAGCGAACGATGACGGCCCATCGAAGGCTTTCGTTATTAGCGCGTTAAGAGAGAAAAGAGTTGGAAACCGAGGGCAGGTCTCGACTCGGAGAACCGAGAAGGTTCGAGGGCAACGACTTAAACAACGGGTAACAAGAAGTAGCGAGTAATAATTGAGCGAGGCAAGTATGCCGCGGACCATGGCGGAGAGCTGTGGAGATCCGCCGATGCGGATCTACCTGACCGGAATTCGGAAACAGTGACGATGGAAGGTGGGAGGCACGAGTAATTCCGGCGGCGACTTCGACTATGGAAGATGGTTCCTCTTCTGGACCGATCGAGCCAGAATTTAGATGTTTCTTGGAATATTAATGCGACCTGACGCGCATTTCCTTCGACCTGGATTATTCGACGAGAAATTGAACTATTTTAACGTTGAACGGTGGTGTTCTTTTTTTTTTTGTTGCGGGAACAAACCGTGGAACAAATGGAAGATTGGAATTGTTTATTAGATGAAGAGGTAACTTTTTTTTTTTTTTTTCCCTTCCATTTCGATCCATTTGAATATCGTTGGACGGGAGTCGAGATCGAGAGATCAAAGGCAAATTTGGTATGGATGTTCAGAGGAATGTAAATTATTACGATTGATATAATGGTTTTATGTTTTTTATTTGTTGGAGCAAAGGTTTTTTTAATTACATTCGATCGAAGTGTTGGAATATTATCGAATTGAACAAGAAAGAGAAAATGCATTTTTAAGGTTTTTAAGTTTTCGTACGATCGACGACATTGAAAAGAATCTTTTATCTTTTCGTTTCAATTTATTCGACGTATCGTCGCACGAGAACGTTGATCGAAGATTAAGAGAAAATTGTAGGTTAGAGTGTCGTGCACGAACAATTTCACAATATTGAATAAGATGATCAATCGATTTATATATTTGTAAAATTCATTCATAAATCTCCAGCTCGTTTCAATCTTATTTCCGTTTTACGAACTGGATAAACTTGTAAAAATTTTGTTGTTGATAATATCACCTCGATGAGATCGTGGGCGAAGTAACGAAAAGTAAAACGCGTTATCTTATCGATCCTGAAATTAATCGAACGAACCGATCGTTAAAAATGTGAAATCTTTCTCGTCTCATATTTCGAAACAAATAAATGCTCGATTTCTTGAAGCGATAATAATTCAACGCGAAACACCACCTCTTCTTCCTCACTGGTGTCAATAAAAAGAAACAAAAACAAAAAAAGGACGGAGGAGAAAAAATTCACCACCCATTTCCCCCAATCAATATTACCAATCAACAATTATCTCTAACTAACTAAAACTAACAATTTGGAAAATCCTTAAGGAAACATCGTCGAGACATTTCCCGTGTCGATACTTGGATCCGAATCTGGGGAAAAGAAGAAAGGAAAAGAAAGAAAGAAAAACGCGACGAAACGCGCGTGTCGAAGGTTAAATTTAAAGAACTAATAGAGGGAAGGATTACGCCATTGGCCAGCAACGTTTCCAAAGTTGCCCGTTTGGCGGCGATATGGGCGAACCGATTCGGGATCGTGGGCAACGATTCCTCGTTAGCGATCGATGCGAATCAGGCTGCGAGACGACGTCCACGTGTGGAAAGTGGCTCGGTTTCGAAGGTGACACGCTCGGATGCTGAGAAATGTCCCAGAATAACCTGCTTCAAGGATACAACTGTGAGTAAACCGCACGAGAAAAGCACGGGGGAATCGAGCCGGTCCCTCCTTCCTCCCTTTCATTTCCTTTATCCTCGTCCTACTCCTTTATTCCTCTCCGATTTCTCTCCAACTCCATGGATTCGATCGCGTTCCCGTCCTCTTAAATAACGGCCGATATCGACCGGTCGCGATCTGTCGCCTGTCCGTCCCGTGAAAAATGAGCTGTGATAATGGCGGCTTTCGTTTATTTGCCACCAGCCACCGGAAAAAAAAAGGCGAGGACCGTGGATGTCGGACTTCTGCCGATCCCTCCGCTTTTTGACAGTCTTTTCTCTTCTCCTCGTTGTCGGGAACAAAGCCTCGCCTCCTTATAATGGCCGATGGCCCTCCGCCTCTTTTTCTCGCCTTCGTGCGCGTCTGCTCGCGTAATCGCGGCCGTTTTTTTTCGCGATGCCCTCGCCGAAAGGATTGTGAATTTTTACGCCAACTTTTAACTGCATACTGTATACCGGGTTGTATGCCGGGGGATCGGGAGGGATCATCGGTTTTGGGTGCCCTTCGCCTCTCGGAAACAGCAGTTGACAGGAGTTGAACGTGCGCCGCCTCCCGAAAATATACGTACGTATATAATTTATTTTACGTGTTGAGAAAATGGTGGAGGGTGTCGTGGGTGTTGGCAGATTTAATCCTTCGATCGTCGCTCCGAACTCCGTGCCCGACCAATTTCTTCCGATATTTACGTGAACTTTTTCTATTTTTTCTCTCTTTCTTTTTTTTTTTTTTTCTTTTTCTTTTTTCTTTTTTCTTTTTTACGCGTGGACCGCGTACGGGATTAGAATTTTTTCCAGGATAGTTTTTCTCTTCAATCGCGTTAAAACGTTGCGAGGAAGATTTCAAGTAGAAATTCGAATTATCGGGACTATTATTTCCGTGATTTTCCCCCCTCCCCTCCCNCCCTTTCCCTTTCCTTTCC